ACACTGAGTTCTTCAGACTCGAACATCTCAAAGTCGACAATGTCCAAATCTTTGACTATACCTCGAGTCGTGGAGTCGTCCTTGCTGATCGTACAGAAGTCGAGATAGTCTTCGATTTCCGGAAGTGGTCTTGGGAGTGTCATGTCAGTTTGAGCTTCAGGCGGTTGGTGGTTGGTGGTGTTGTTCAAGGCGAACAAACCATTGCCGACTGGAACCATCGTTGCAGAGCTCGTGGATTGAGAATTTGGTGCGGAGTATGCATGAGGGTTGATTGGTTGTTCAAGATCTTCCCAGACAAATTCAGGTCCGGTAGGTGGCTTGTGGACCGAGACTCCTGGAGTCTTATTCGCCTATTCCAAAGATATCGGTCAGTTTTGATTGATTGTGAATATTAACAAAAGAGAAACTTACCACAGCTTTGGCCCATAAGTCGAATGTGATAAAGGAGAGATGCATTCCTTGGCAAGGGTTCAATGGGTTGATCATTCCCATGCACTCCCTCCCATTGATCGAGCACTTTCCATACATGGTCATGAGCTTGGTATGTATAGACTGAACAGTCGGTTCGACACCAATTGACTGTTTGAGCAAAGTCGTTCATTAGTTTGAGTTCTTCAAGATCAAAGGAAAAAGATGAGACGTGGTACTTACTGCCATCTCTAACTGATCGTGTCGAGCGCAATCAATTGTGTCCGGATCAGCATGGGCCAATGCTTGATCGACTTGGAGTTGCTGCTCAGAGTTCAAAGTCAGTTGATCAAAAACGAGAAAATGGAAGCATGAAGAAGACAAGTCACTTACTTTCAAGTTGTTACGAGCCATTTTCTTTGGGTTTTCCATCATTATGCGGAAACCCATTTCTTTACCTTTACATTTCTTGCTGATCGCCATATTCTTGAATGCAGTAAAGATCAAATCGTTTTTGATCACCGGAGTCAAAGTTTTACCAAAGACGCCACCTTGAGTTACGTAAGCTTTGAAAGTGACCTGACAATCATTGTCAGCTTGCTTGAGTATTTGTCCGGTACCGTTTTTGTTGGTGTTGCACAGATCGAAAAGGGAATTCTTGATTTCAGTCAATGACACGCCATTGACTTGAACCATCACATTGATGGAGTCTTCAGTCTCGTAGTCGATGTAGTTTTGAGCCAAACCGTTTCGTCGCTCAGTATCAGTAAGTGGAATGGGTATATAAGCCCTAAAGAATAACTTGGCTTTTGATGGTTTTGATTCGTCGCTGGCAGCAAGGATTGACCCAGATTGGGGGAGCGGAGCGGCGATGAGACAGGGCAAATGAGTGAGATCCAGCTCAATGCGTGGAGCTAACTCAAGGACACGTCAGTTTGAATTTTTCGAACAGGCTCTATGAAAAGAAGAAAAACTTACTACGCTCTTCACCTCGAGCTTGGATATTGTATCCTCCATCGCCAAACCTTGGATCCAACTCGCTGGCATTCCAAAAATGAAGTTCCTTGGCGGCTTCAGATCCAGAATGTTGAGGAGTATTCAATACTGATGAGACACCGTTGATAGGTGGAAAGAAGTGAAAGTATTGGTTAGTTTCATTTAATCCAGAGAAATTCTAAAGAATAGAGAAAGAAAACTGACAATCATTGATATTGGCTTCCGCTTGAAGTCGGAAACGGAACTCACGAGGACCACCTTCTCCATAGGGATCAACATGGATCGACTCTGAATCGAGATATTGGCGTTGACCATTAACTCGAACAAGTTCCCAGTGGTGACCGTCCCTACAAACGAATAAACAGTAGTCAGAAAGAATGCAACAATGATGAGAGTCGAAATAATGAGAACAAAACTTACTTGTTCATGTAATAAGGACTGCCACCGCGGCCACGAGGAGGACTAAGACCTTCCTGTGGAGCCCTTCTTGCTCTTTTTTCAGCGCTAAGAAGAAAGAAGACAATCATTGGAAGTCGAGAAAGTCGGTTGAATGAGTGGTTGGAAGTTGAGAAGATGGATAGATTGATCGGGTTTAAATAAGAAACTCAGGTGAATCCGATGTGATTGAGGTTTGAATGAAAAAGGAAGTGATGTTGAAAGGGAAGGGGATTGGATATCGATTGAAATCAAAAAGGAAACGATATCAAAAAAGGAAATGAGATCGAATGTCAGTTGAAATCAAAAAGGAAACGATATCGAAAAGGAAAAGATATCAAACTTACGCTTCCTCGAGTGCCCTCGCGTCCTCGGCAAGTTGGAGTTGTTGCTTGCTTGGTCCTCTCGGCATGGTTGTGAAGGTTTGGACAGGGTATCGGGGTTTGACGGTGGTATTGAGGGTTTTGTTGGTGGTGTGGTGGTGATGGTGGTGTGGTATGTAGACAGCTCTTGACCGGTTTCGACGGTCAAGAGATATTCCAAATCCCATGCTTTGATTGTAGCATATGCTTAAAATCAAGCCTGTATTTGGCCTGTATCACTCTCAAAAAAACTTTCGATTTTTTTGATTGGTCAAGCCAATCTGGATCAACTGTAGTTATATCCATTTTATACTCGATATAGGTATATCCAATTTATACCTATATCGAAATTTGAGAGATATTCTGCTTGTATCGATAGGGTTAGTAAGTTTGTATCGCTAGGGTTAGTAAGTTTGCTACTTAAGACTCAATGTGATCAATCAGGAGTTTGATCAAATGCACCTCCTCTTCAAACACCATGAAGCATTATAATTTCTAGTAGTAAGCAAAGAGAGATAGTTATATATAGGGAGATATGAGCTTACTCACATATCTCCCAATTCATATTTTGTATTTCAGTAGATAACTTTATCGCAAAGTTATGAGGAATCTGAGTGTATTTGTATTAGCCTATTGCAAAGATTCAAAGTCTCTTTTATTTCACATCACATATGAAAATATATTGGATAATGATGTCAATTTGATTTTTTCTTGAAGTGCCTAGGTGTTATGAGATTAGGAAAATAGAAGTGCCACTATACATTCTTGAAGTATCTTTGTGAAATGTGATAATAAAATGCTTTCCTATATTTGAACCTATCCATCACTTTCCATACTAATGTCATATGATGAAATTTGGGGCAGAAGCACATGCCCTAGATGTCCCAATTGAAGAGAAAGATGGGAGAAGAGATTTCATCCTTATAATCGCCCTGAAATGTGAATAAGGATAAAATTATTCATTTATCAATTGAATTTTGTGCATTTGATAAATTAATAATTGTTTTCAAATGACGATGGAGTACTTACAGAGCGGACGGTTGCATATCCAGCGCAATCCTTGTGTGTAAAATTATGAATGCGAATGTTATTCATGGGTGAGTTCTTCAAGTTTTTTCAGCTCATCTTTTGAAGTATAATCCACCACACATTCCAAGTGTGGCATAAAGATGGAGTCATAGTGTAAGTATGACTCCATCTTTATCCCACACTTGGAATGTGTGGTGGATTACATGGGATGGGGAAATGACGAATTGCCCCTTTCCATCTCACATATGTGATTTCTTCATGTTTTTTATACATAACTTTTGAAGTGTTGGTGTTAATGCAGAAAGGAGTGCATTTTTGAAATCAGGATGCAAGACTTACCATATGACTTCATTCATATCCAGCACTTGACATGTGTGGCGGAACAAAAGAGTGATTCACATATTTTGACCACTCCCACGCACATATGTGATTTCTTCATGTTTTTTAAACATAACTTTTGAAGTTTTGGTGTTCATGCAGAAAGGAGTGCATTTTTGAAATCAGGATGCCAGACTTACCATATGACTTCATTCATATCCAGCACTTGACTTGTGTGGCGGAACAAAAGAGTGATTCACATATTTTCCCCTACTATACGCTTATAGATTTCCTTCATGTTTTTTAAACATAACTTTTGAAGTGTTGGTGTTAATGCAGAAAGGAGTGCATTTTTGAAATCAGGATGCCAGACTTACCATATGACTTCATTCATATCCAGCACTTGACTTGTGTGGCGGAACAAAAGAGTGATTCACATATTTTGACCACTCCAACGCACATATGTGATTTCTTCATGTTTTTTAAACATAACTTTTGAAGTCTTGGTGTTAATGCAGAAAGGAGTGCATTTTTGAAATCAGGATGCCAGACTTACCATATGAATACATTCATATCCAGCACTTGACTTGTGTGGCGGAACAAAAGAGTGATTCACATATTTTCCCCTACTATACGCTTATAGATTTCCTTGATTCTTTGAATTATTTTTGCAGTTTTTTGGGTGAATCAAAATGTATGGTACCAAATAAACCAGGAGTTATTACTTACACTATTACATCATACACATGCAATTTTTTCCATGTATAGGTGATCAAATGGACCAAGGATCTAGTACCATGACTTATAATCACACCTGATCCCTTTAGACGAAGACGAATTCCACATGTGGGATCACAGAATATCGACATATAATCACACCTGATCCCACATGTGGGATTCTGCAACACACATGTGGGATCGTACATCCCACATGTGTGATGTAAGATCACACACTATTACATCATACAGAGGCAATATTTTCCATTTATAAGGGGATGAAAAAGAAAAAGGATCTAGTACCACAATGTATAATCACACCAGATCACAAATGTGGTATATGAGATTACACATGTGTGAAATAAGATCACATGTGCGTTTTGCAGAATCCCACATGTGGGATCATATCCCACTTGTGTGATCTCATATCCCACGTGTGTAATCTTATGTCTACCTTGTGGGATCATTCGTCACACATGTGGGACATATGATCACACATGTGTGGCACATGTGTCCCACATGTGTGACGAATGATCCCACATGTCACACCTGTGGGAACCGTTGTTCATAAAATCTAATTTTATGATTAGATTTTATAGAAACAATAGGATCAATTTGTGGGTTAATCACCACTATGTAACTCTACTTTGGCTCTTATTCCAAATATGTGGGTCTAGTTTTCCTCTGATTCAAAACATGCTAACTAAAATGACGTAAATCTAATTTTGGTTTTCTTCAAAATCCTAATCCATTCCATTCTTCCTCCTCATCTATCTCATTTACAATCTGCGTGTAGATAACATCTTCTTCAAACTCATGCACATTTTCTTTATTTGCTTCAACATCCACATTGGAATCAATCTTCTCCAACTTAAAAAGATCAGCATTGATATCATCCAGCCATTGGGACCTACTCCTATTCATTCGAGCAAAGCCAAGCTTCAGAGTTTCATGTGTAAGTGTCGAACCTGGCATTTGTACCATCTTGATGTTGTAACCTCTAGCTTTGAAAATGGCTTCGGGGTCTGGGCCATGAGGAAACCCTTGATCACGTCCTAGTAAAGAAGCTGAGAAATAAAAGTGAATAAAGCAATGAAGGGAGGTTGAATCTAACTCGAACTTACATAGTTTGCTTCTTAAGGTCGCCGCAAGCTTTGACTTCACTACATCACCAGCGTCAGCTTTTCTCCCGCATTGTTTATGCTTCACATTTCCTCCAATTGTTTCCGCAACTGTCTCAGCGACAGAAAGGCCTTGTGCAGTGGCTCCAAACAATGTTGCAAAGTTACACTTTTTATTAACATATGTGGCCATATCTTCATGCGATGTGTACTCTTTGCACCAACCGCGTGAAGAGGTGTCTACTTTGGTTGAAGCATAAGTGCTACATGCTAAGAGATAGTAACCGAATCCCATATTTTTCGATTCGTCTCCAATCTGTGGAGGTGTTGATAAATGTGAATATCGGTGAATATCACTAGATAAGGATGAAATATAAATGTGATTCACAAACCTGTTTGTGAAGCCGCTCAATACATTTGAGCGACTGCCGGTTAAAATCAGGAAGTGTAGGACCTTGTGATTTACCGGATACCGATTTGCTATATTCTTTAGCTACTTTGGCCTTCCAAACCAGCTCATCATACAAAGCCTCGAACTCAGCACGTTCTCCTGGCTCAAATTCGAAAGTATGAATAGCCTCTTCAACTTCGGCTTCGTCCTCAGAATCTTCTAGGTCATCATTCTCTTTAATCACTTCTTTAGTATAAGTGAGGCCAGAGAGCGCATAAAATATTGGGGGGGAAAACACTTCTTGGTGACGAAGTGGCATTGCCGTCCATTTTGCTCCTAGTATACGATTTCGGTTTGCTAAGATACCTTTCTCACCACCCTTTTTCGGCACTACATTTGAATACATGGATTGTTATCTTTTGATCATAAGAAGAATGGTAATAGAGACTTACTGCGCTCAGGTCGGATCTCATTGCTATACTTCAGGAATATTTGGTAACCGCTAGGTCTGCGGCGCCCTCCAAGCTCTCCTCTTTTTAATAACAAAAGCAAACAAAGAGATCATTAACATCAACATCAACCCAACGAGAAATCTTGGATGAGAATACGTACAAAGCCTTATCAATAGTAAACATACCAACATTGCCCATGATTGCTAGCAATGACTTTTGTTGTTTGTAAAGTGTTTGAATCGCTTTAGCTTCCTTCAATATATGAGGTGGTACCACATTTTGCTTTTGTTTTTGTTGTCGTTCAACCACAGCAATCCGTGGAAGAGGCCATTCATCAATCACTTCCTTATAGTTCGTAACGCTTGGTAGGTTATGTATGTCTTCTATTGAAGAGTCGTGCTGGGTCACTTCGGTGGTATTGTTGACAGGATCGCGTGTATTTGTCGTTTCAGGGAATTGTCTGGATAGTTGTTCTAAAAGTTCATCATCAACCGATTGAACGTGTGTTTGACGTCGATTGCTTCTGGTTGAACATCCTCGGGGATTGAGGTCAACATCGGTGTCAGCAGATGAGTCACTATTGTTGGATGGTTCGTAGTGGTCATCTTCTTCCGTATTTGAGATACGGCGCAAACGCTTGCGCGAAGTTTGA